CCCCTCCTCTCGCACTTCCGTAGTGCTCGATTACGCTTGGATTTTGATTACGTGTTCTTTCTTTCCGTGCAAATACCCCTCGGCCATCGACTTTCCCGGCGATCGTTCCTCTCGTTCGAGGACTCGCGCTCACCGATTCAAAGTCTGATAATATCCATCGATATCGCGAGCATTTTGCTAAATCGTTGCGCTGGCATCAGTTTCAACGACAGTTTGTTGAAAACGTGTGCGAATCTTCTCGCAATTTTATTTTATTTTATATTATACTATATTATACTATATTACACTATATTATATTATATTATACTATATTACACTATATTACACTATATTGTATTATATTATACTATATTATACTATATTATACAATATTATTCTATATTATACTATATTATACTATATTATAGTATTTTATACTATATTATTCTATATTATACTATATTATACTATATTATAGTATTTTATACTATATTATTCTATATTATACTATATTATACTATATTATAATATATTATAGTATACTATATTACTGTATTACACTATATTACACTATATTATATATTATACTATATTACACGATATTACACTATATTACACGATATTACACGATATTACACTATATTATACTATATTGCACGATATTACACTATATAATACTATAATATAGTATATTACACTATATTACACTATATTACACAATATTATAGTATATTATATATAGTATAATGATATTATTATTATAGTTAATATTATTATTATAATATTTATTATATATAGTATATACTATATATACTACTATTATATACTATATTATGGTATATAATATAGTATAATATAATATAGTATAGTATTATATAGTATAATACACTATAGTGTAGTATTATATAATATAATATACTACAGTATAGTATTATATAGTATAATATACTGTAGTATAGTATTATATATAGTATTATACTATAGTATATTATTATATTATAATTATTTTATTTTATGTTATATTCTATTTTATATTACGATTAATTTACGGATATTTTCTTCATGATTAATTTACAAGTAATTTATAATTACAAATAATTTATTATTCTATATAAATCGCGATTAATTTATAAGTAATTTTTGTTAATATATAGGATCAGCTTTGCACGTGAAAATACACGTAATTGACATATTTTAATAATGCGAATGTTTAAAACAAAGTTCTAATTTAAATGAATAAAACCATCATTTTATCGAAACTTAATTTTCTGAAAGGCGAACCCTTTACGTAGAATCGATACTAAATAATTATCTAATCTAAACCTTTTCTCTTTTTTATTCGTACATTTTGCAAAAAGAGAAAAAAAAATATCATTCAGCACTGAAACTACCAAGGAGATAAAGTATCAAAAATTGAGCCAAAGAGGTTGGAATATGCCAGGAATAGGAAACGAAAAAAAAATTGTAACACGAATTTTTATTCGTATATTTTACAAAAATGTCTAGAAAAAAACGCGAGCGTGCAATAAAGTTGTTCTAAAAAATTCTAAATCGATCATTTTGACTTTGTACTTCACTCAGTTCATACAGATCCGTTTTGCGTCTATGAAATGCCCAGCAGAAATTACAAATTCGTTTCGTTTCGAATGTTAATTCTCGCGTCATCGTGCACGATCCTGAGCTTATGTTAAACCTCGATCGAAAGGTTTTCGAGTTCCTCCGAATGGCTTTGCTCTTTCGTTCGACGCGATACGGACGCTTTGAAAGAATCTTCTTCCCCACTCGGAGGCTCTCCTTCTTTTCACATATCCTCAAGTTACATACTCTGTGATACATAGTAGTATACTCGTCGCGATACACACGGCCTCTCCTCCTCCTCTCTTGCGCGGAGAGACCGCCTGGGATTTCATCCGAAACGATACGAAGAGAAACGATATCAAAATGTTTTAGCGAGCTACGCGTGTATACAGGGTGGTCCATTCAAACGCGACCAATTGAGTGTCTTTTCGAATTGTGCGTGACGATGCGAAAAATATATATTTTTTTTTTTCCTTTTCCGCCTAACTAACGCTAAAAGAAATTTAGAGAAAAGAAAAAATTTTAATTTTTGGATCGGTCGGTGGATTTCGAGGTTATGTTCTTACACATCCGAACGTTTTCCAAGAAAATTCTAATTGCCTTCGAA